GCCAAAAATAGGTGAAAAGGTAATCTAATCAAATGTGTGACAGAAAATAGAACCAATGTCTAAGTAATAAGAGCTTGGCGCCTCACTAATCAGACCAATCACACCCAATTGTACCCAATCGAGCTTTGATTTGCGTCAACCAACCACCAATCACATGAATTACAAATAGTTTACCAAGAACAGTTTTTTTACGTCTACAACTAAATTGTTACGGACTTTGGACCACCAATGCCTGGCGCCAGACTTAGATAAAAAGCTTTTCAGTCATGGGGTAATTTTTTTTTCTAGACTCAAATCATTTATGTCTGGACAAAGTGCGACTGATGAGCCGGATTGAGGAAAGTTAAGTGTCTAATTTCGCGGGTTCATCATCGATATTGGCCTGTAATAGTTCCACTACTAACAGTGCTGTTGCTTTTGCATAACCTTCTTCTAGTAATGAGAAGAAATGAGCATTGATCACCGTGCTTGCTTCATGCGGAATGGTGATTGTTATTTTTTTTAATTAGTCTATAAGTCTACTTTGTCGTCTTGCTTCACGATGTTTTTTCCTTTACTGTTTGTCAATGATGTCTAAGTACACTAAGTACCGATTTTTCCAAGGCCAGTTAAATTATAACTGAGAAATAACTTTAAATATTTGACAATTATCCCATCCTAAAAACTGAAATGACAATTTTATTCGACAAGTAAGAATTAACTGATGATTTCAAAGTCGGCACTAGAAAAGTAAACATTGGACTGAATGTCCAAACTACTGTTTAATGTAATTGACCCATTATTTTTGGGGAGTCCTTCTCCTCCTCGGGAAAGAACAGTCTCCTTCATCATCTACACAGTCCACAAGTTCCACAACCTACTTGTGAATTGAGATACTGTAATAACGGTGTGACGTAATGATTTAAACAAAAATAAGTAAATTCTTTGATCATATTTTAATTCCAGATTTGTCTGAATCTGAACAACTTATTACCTACTAAGAATTACAAACGACAAAAAACCGACAAACACTTAACTGTAAATGCAAAAAAAATACAACAAACAAGTATAAGTTCAATAAAACTTAAAGATTTTTCTTATTTACTTTGCAATTTGCACTTATATCGCCATTCGCGGAGAACCTAACTGGTTACCGGGGCTCCGGCTCGAAGTGCAGGAGTAGAAACGGGGTGGTTTTTAGTCAGTAAGATACTGATACTCCCAGCCTCACCCAGGCGGGAGAAGGGGGGAAAATCATCGAATGACTGCTCCCGCCTGGGTGAGGCGGGAGGGAGGTTCTCTGCGTTAGGTTCTCCGCGACACATAAAGTTAGCTACAAATTGATTCGCGACTAGCCTAATACTGTGGAAATACCTTTATATGAACATTTTATAGGTCGCATTTTAGTAATCGCTTGTTGGTAAACACCGAAAAATCTTGCAGAAAATTTTATGAATCTGTTTCTGTGAAATTCCCGATACTGGAGGATAATTTTGTACCCTTCACACTAATTTAGGTAGATGGTATTATTTTAATTCGTAGAAGTATTTCTTCTTTCCTTCTCGAGCTCAAGAAAGGTTGAAATGAGTAACCTGCTATTGGAGAAAGTTCATGTCCAGCTGTGTAGAAACAGGCTCATGGTGTTTTATGTGTCAGTCTTTGACCACTATGCCACCTGGTGGTAAGCGATGATGCGGCCTACGATAGAGCTCGCCTGATCATAAGCAACCTATTTACTCGGGCCTTGAAGACATCCAGGCAACTCAGGCAAAGAATTCCACTATTTAGCTATTTAGCTACACTATTTTTTTTTCTTTTCTTTTTTGATCACTTCGACTGGATATAAGTGTTACATTGTTCTCGCATAATCCAAACAGCAAAACTATGTAACTAGTAAATTGTATTGTGAACCTGATTGAAAAAGAGTAACCTATGGAGTTTCTTGCTCGTTCTTCTCCATAGGAATCTACACTTTGGAATGAGCAAATAGCTTCACTTTTTTTTTATTTTGACGTTTTTTAAAGTGCCATTCGGGCCTAATTAAAATAAATGATGTTGACTTTGACTTTGACTTAGCGAATCGTACAAGGAAACTTGAAACGAAGCGGTTCTTGCTTTATGGTGAAATAATATTGAACGATTGCGATTTGGATTGCATGATCTGTGCACAGACCTGGCAATCGGCTGCTGTTATAGAATAGAATCAGAAAAATTCTTTGTGTGATCCACAAATTGTTGTTTCGAGTCTGGATGTGATGCTTCAAATGAAATGGTGTATTTGTAAAAGGTTTCATGACACAAGAGAAAATCTTAATTTGGGGAAAATTCCATAATATTGGTTACTTAGACCATATTAAACTGATAAATAGGTCCTCGCCAACTAGTCAAATTCAATACGTTGCTTATAAAACGACGTACTCCATCGTAGACCTCTTCATAGCTTACCACCAGGTGAGATAGTGGTCAAACGTCGGCACATCAAACATTATATTAAAAAAATGCTTTTTTCGATCTGTCAAAAACGACAGTTTTCTATCAATTTTGAACGAGATTGTGTATTGTGACGTCACGTTTTTTAGAGTCAAACAGTATACTTATTGCTTAAAAATTTGCTGGAAAAATACTAAAATTAATTTGGTCATAAAGTCAATTACTTATAGTATGATTATTTTTTAATATTTGATTGTATTGAACAGTCGATATAATTTATGTTTGACTGAGGCCAATTACATATAATATTAAATGACGACAATTAGGTTTAGTTATAAAAACAACATCCCTGGCCCCGGAATCCCGCGATGGCTCAGTATCCGCGCTGATACCGCACTTATCGGAACTAAGCTTTGCTATCGTCACTGGATAGTCCGATTTCATGAGAACCGGGACGGTTTAGATAATTACCATACATTACACGTCTTATCATGTATGCATCACGCACGAGGTACCAACTTTATGTAAATCTTAGTTCTTACTATATTTTAAATGCGAAACTTTGTGAGTTTGTGTGTACCTATATTTGTTCCTCAATCATGTATGAACGACAGAAGGGATCGGGATGAAATTTGAAGCAGATAGATTTCGGTCTTATATATCTATATATTATAAAAGAAAGTCGTGTTAGTTACACCACTTATAACTCAAGAACGGCAGAATGGATTTGGCTGAAAATTGGTAGGGAGGTAGCTTAGAGCCAGGAGACCGACATAGGATACTTTTTAACCAAATTTTTTTTTTTACTTTTTTCCGAAAATCACGAACGGGGACGGGAAAAAATGGGATGGTACGCGTACGAAGTCGCGGGCAGAAGCTAGTATTATTATAAAATGGAGTTAAGTTAAGGAGTAGGAGGTCCTTACGTCACACGATATTTCAGATTAATATATCGACGAAAGTATTAAATTTTGTGAGAAAAGAATAAATACGTGTCTAACATAACATCACGCCTTTTATCCCCGAAGGGGTAGGCAGAGGTGCACATTATGCTACTGTACAATGTAACACCCACTTTTCACTATTTATGTTGAGTCTCATGTAATAGGGGGTGAGCCTATTGCCATATACCGGGCACAATTCCAGACTCCGTGCTAGTACTGAGAATTTTTTAAAAAACCAGTAATACTTTGCCCGACCCGGGAATCGATCCCGAGACCCCTTGCCCGGCAGTCGCACTTGCGACCACTCGGCCAACGAGGCAGTTCTGTAGTGTAGTACGTGTTTAAGGTTTTAAATTAATTTACCAGACGGACATTAAAATAAAATTCAGGCTACTACCCTATTGTCTGAACATGATAAGCACGTCGATACTCATCATCGTCATCACTCAATGACGCTTTCTTTAATGAAACAACTTTATCATTTTGTAATATAAAAGGTTTACGTCTTGGGGTTACTGCTCTATTTGCACTTAATTTTACTATTCAACATTTAACAGAAACCGGGCAAAAGCGCTCACTGATAAACCTGTGCCTTTAGCCAAACGCCACTTTAGCGCTTGTCTACAGAGAGAGTAGAAAACTAAATGTATGGGGGTGACACGGACAAGTGTCAAAATTTGCGTCAATTCCATATAATTTGGTTTTCTATTCTACATGTAGACAAGCGCTGAATGGTATTTGGCTACAGCTACTGAACTTTTTACAATATGATCACCAGGTCGACTGTCAAACAGACATTATGGCTAGCCGATATGTAGAGGAGGCCCATACTTCAATTATGAACTATAAAGTTATAGCTGTGACAAGCTATAACTTTATAGGGTTTCGTTGTAATATTAATTTAAAGGTGAGTACAAACAAATAAAAATTGAGTACAAATACAAGGAAAAAATAGCCCTTAATTGGAAATCCCATAATCGAGAGACATTCTTATTCATTCCATCAACTACTAATTCATAAAAAACTAATTAACAATAACATACAGTGAAAAAAAAAACAATAATCCAGATAAATAAAGCATTCGTCATAAAAATATTTTGATTAAAAATCGTTTAAGTATAAATATTAATAAAAATTATACATTTTAAAAAACCTGATAAAGATAAGAAACTGTAGGTCAAAGAAAGTAATTGACAGCCCTTTCAAGTATAGAGGAAAAACGATAGCTCCATTCATTAAAATATCTAACTTTTTCCACTATAAAATGACCCTTATTAACAAGAGAAAAAGGTGTGAACAAAAATCTCCCAGAGATGCACTCATGTCCTACATCTTATATCAATGTTATTGAGAATATTGATTGCCAATAACTGTGATGAAGGCCAAAATGTTTCAAGTTTAGTCACTACATATAAAGGAGTGTCCAGGCTTGACCGTCCGTTAGAAATAACGATTTCATGCCCTTTGACACAACCTATGACACTAAACACAATTAAAGCCATTTATAATCAAAGAAAAGAAAGATAAACACTAGAAATGAGTACCAATTTTTTGGTTCTCTTTTTTAATGATTATCACTTTTCATATATTTAATTTATTTTTAAAAACTTCTCCAATACTGGTGATTAAAATAGGGTATCCACTTACCCAGGCCGTCGCAGAAACTCGCCAAGCACACGAGCAAACAAACAAATATCGACCACTTCATCGCACTAACAGACACCACACTAATTTTAATTATCCGTCGGGACACACGACCGCCGCCCGCCGTCTCCAAGACACAACTGATATTCCTTCGCGTACAATTCAAATGATATACTCCTGCGCAACATTAAATTTACCGTTCGATTTATGAATTTTTTCGCCCCTCCCCTCATTGCTCGTAGTGTATAAGGGCGATGTTGATGTCAATATTTTTTTTCGCCTGCAAACATAGCTTGGCTGTTTATTATCTATAATTGTGATTATTTTTAATAGGTTCTAAATACGGTAGAGTTTGTGAATTGTGAAGTGGTCTGTTGTTTGACCGGCGCGCTCCCCCTGACCCCTTGGCAAATAGTCGTGTCTGATAAAACCATAGTTTGTATGTGTTTCGTAGAAATTACTGATTAGTTGCAGTTTTGATAGTCACGTTGGGTGACGGTAAATATTATTGATGCATTGGGCTGTAAGCCCGATACAAACGTACACAATTACGTAGGTATTATGTTATTACATCATAATTATTCTTGTTTATTATGTTTTAATTAATAGTAATGCTTATTAGTTTGTCTTTATTGATTGTTTGTCTATTTGCGGCTTGTAATTGAAATTGTAGGTGTCATATTCGTTATAGGAAATAATTTATTTTCACAATTAGGTGCGTGATGTTATATATGGGCGTGTATTTATGTACATGTTTCTTGCCTTTACTGCCTCGTTGGCCGAGTGGTCGCAAGTGCGACTACCGGGCAAGGGGTATCGGGTTCAATTCCCGGGCCGGGCAAGGTATTACTGAGTTTTAAAACAAATCTCATTAGTAGCACGGAGTCCGGAATTATGTCCGGTATATGACAACAGGCTCACCCCCTATTACATGGGACTCATAACATAAATAGTGAAAAGTGGGTGTTACATTGCACAGTGGCCTAAAGTGCACCTCTGCCTACCGCTTCGGGGATAAAAGGCTAGATGTTATTTTATGTTTCCTACTTACCTGGTACCTACCCAGGTACCAGGTAAGCCCTTAACTCGTTGAGTACCGTCATTATAGACACAATTAAAGAACAATAGTTTGTGACAGTTTAAACTGCGTCAAACCAACCGCGGCAGTAGCATTAGCTAACAATTTTCAAACTATTAGTGACTTACCCTCTAGAAAGACTTCTCCTTTTACATGCGACAAGCCCACCACAATCTCCTAAAACCGCTACAACTCCTGTTACCCAGGATGTACAGTAGATACAACCATGAAAACACCGGAACATTGAAGTCCGGCGCGTCCCAGGGACATGAGTAACTGTTTTGGTTCCCGCAACGAAATAAATCAGAAGAACAAAAACAGTAATTAATTCACTTCAAATCCTATGTTCCAAGTATTCATTCTTTGCACTGACCAATCAAAACAGATACACAAATATCGCATTTAAATATTATTTAATAATAAGGTTTAAAACAAAATTAACATAAAACTGACATCTAAATTCTAAATGCCCGCCATTGGTTAAGGAGTAAAAGCTTTTAAAAAGGCAAAGATATCGGCGAAATGCCTTCGCAAGCCTATCACAAAATCGGTTCGCATACCGACCGAACCAGAGTCAAAGGATCCGCGATAACTTTATGCGCTTTATACGACTATAAACTCTTATTCTCTTTGGTATGTTGCGTTTAAATTTAGAATTCGCATTTTCCAATGCTTTTAGGATGGTCGGATACTAAGCGAATTGAGATAACAATGATTGACTTTTTTTTCATGTTTATCGATGACAAATATTTAAACGGACAGCGCAGAGTGAATAGATGTTCGTATTTTTAAGACACAGGTATTTTTTTTAAGGGGGAATATCATCGAAGGACTGCTCCCGCCTGGGTGAGGCGGGAGGGAGAGTCAGACTCTTACTGACTAAAAACCACCCTGTTCCTTCTCCTGCACGTCGAGCCGGAGCCCCGGTTACCCGTTAGGTTCTCCGCAACAAGACACAGACTTGTAAAAATCTGTTACTTAATAAGTGATTTAACTTTGAAATATTTTTTCCCAAAAAGGGAAAATAAAATACGGATTTTTAGCAGACAGTACCAAGTCACAGACACATAGACAACAAATACCACTATTCTGTGTTCATAAGACGTCTTGAAACAGAAATATGACAGACTACTTATTGTTCCAAGTTCCAACACGCATTGGTCGAAAGCTTTCGAAAACACAGTTGCAAGAAAGTATAGAATCTCAGTGGGCCAATGGGAACAGAAAATGCTAAATAGCTAACTTTGTTATAACTATTTATGAGACGTACGACAGTTTATTATTCAGTCCACTTGGTCATTCTACGTACTACCTATTGAGGATAGGTCATGTTTCTGAGAATCAATCAATTTCATTAAAACCGTGTTCAAAGAAATAAAGAAGAAAGAAAAAATATTTATTCGACTGTAGGCACGCACACAGATACAAAAAAATACAAAATTAAAAAAGAAAAGATCAAATAAATACACATATTTATATAGATGTTGATGTGCTTACCTATATTTGTGTAGCTACCCTTTTTTTAAAGCCCTTACATACCCCCCTGTGTACGGCGAAAGGAAGTGTCAGACTCTTACTAAGTCTACCTAGAACCTCTCTGTGCAGTGCACGGCGGCACGTGACCACTGTGCCACCGTCTTCCTTGAGGTCATTAGGTGGGCACCTAGATTCCCCACTCTGTGCGCCCATGACCCCATAGGTTTATGTTTTCTGCCAATATTATAGGCAGAACATTAACATGATCGGCCCTCTCACGATCCCGCTCAGCAGCCTCCTTTTGGGACATTACAGTCTCACAAAATGTATTAGTCCCCAAAAAAGTACAATTTTAGACATGTGAAGGTTTTCTTAACGAAATAGAATGTCCAAAAATCTCCTAATACTTTCGCTACAAGTGTACGCTCACCTTTAATCTCGTTTTTAATGATCCCAATGGCCAGTCTGTTGCTAACTCCGGTTTTGTTTTTAATTTTTTTATGGCGCGAACTCTTTGATGTTTTTTTATATAATCTGTAGACAAAAATACTATAAGGTTTTTATAGGTCCTGCGTCAAAAGTTAGAAAATATTTTTAGTTGTTTTTACATAGGCAGATTATTATTAAGTAGTTATTTTTATACAAAACTATGTAAAAGTACTTCTTCCTACGCCTAAATACGTGAAAGAAATATATTTTGGTATTAAATACAGAATTTGATCGATTTGCGGAGGTTTATATTGAGAAGTAATACGTTTGAAAGTAATTTAATAATAATCTTGGATTTTTATTGGTATTCGGTCCGTGGGTGATCGTGCGTAACCTACATAAGCCTATAATAAATATTGCGAAATACAAATTCATATGAAACTTGAACTATCCGTAAATACCGTACAATGTGCGCAAATTGTAGTTCATTTTTATTATTTTTCAAAGTCCACTTTTACGCACTGAATGTCTACACACACCTACAGGTACATACCTACCATAATGTCCACGCTGGGCAGGTGAATTGGAGGTCCACCACGGATGAGGCCCAATTGGGCTGATGCCGATACGGAGCCGCGAAAGACTCAACGGGTTGCCGGGGCTCCAGCTCGTAGGGCAGGAGTAGAAACGGGGTGGTTTGGTTTTTAGTCAGTAAGAGTCTGACACTCCCTCCCGCCTCACCCAGGCGGGAGAAGACATTCGATGATTTTTCCCCCTTAAAAAAAAAGGTGTATTGGAGGTTGTAGTTTAAAACTTTCTTTAAGATTTGTCAGAAAGTAGGTGATCAAAATAGGTTCTTTTTTATGGCATAAGCCGGTAAACGAGCAGCCGGAAAACGGATCACCTGATGGTAAGCAATGGGCGTCGCCCGTAGACACCTGGAACACCAGAGGCATTACCGGCCTTTTGGGGATGAGGAGTTTGAGGATCGTTGGGGATTCAGAGATTGGGGAGCTTGGGGAAGGGGAGGGTAATTGGGCCTCCGGAAACCTCACTCTCACGACGAAACACAACGCAAGCGTTGCTTCACGTCGGTTTTCATTGAAGGCCGTGGTATCACTCCGGTCGAGCCGGCCCATTCGTGCTGAAGCATGGCTCTCCCACACTTAATAAGGTCTATAGGTTAGTCTTTCACAGACAATTACCTAAGCAAGTATTATTGAAAAAACGCCAGGAAGAGCTTATCAAATCGACGTAACTTATCCGGGAGAGCCCTATAAAGAAGACGATACGAATAAATAAATAATAGTTATGCGCATGCGTATCGACCTCTGACCATCAATGAGAGCATGTCGTAACAAAGAAAATTACTAATGTTTTATCACATTTCTAGTAAAATGATAATAGACAATAACAACGCTCACAAACACGTGACGCGGATTATAAAATGCTATAGCTTTCCTCCTGTGGCTTCTCCTGCGAAAATTTTAAACAATTCTCTCTTCTATCAACTCTCGATCACGTGAGACTTATGCGAGCTGTGATATTGAATAGGGTAGATGCTTAATTATACATGCCTAATTTTTATTTTAATGTCCGTCTGGTAGCATTAGACACGTATTTTTTAATTTCTTACAGAAACGAATACTTTCGACGATATATTGATTTGAAATGTCGCGTGACGTTACTTCTATGTAGGTATATTTTATACTTAGAAATGACGTTTTAGCCCCTACTCCTAAACTTAGATTCGTTTTATCTGTGTTTTATTATACGACAAATTTAAAAAATACGTGTCTAATATTTTTTCATTACCTAACTTACGGACTAATTATATTTTTAATTTTCATACCCTGTCATCATCCCAATTGGTGTGTTGTACAGAACCGCATCGTTGTATTAAATATGTCCCGTGGGGGATTCTGAACAAATCCCACACAAAAAATGCTGTAAGAATCTCAGGACAATAGTTAAAAGAACTCAACAATATTAAACTTTTACACCTACTATTGTGTCTTTCTTCATCACCCCGAGGTTGTCTGTTAGCGAATGCTACTAGACATTAAGTCTGCCGTCCGACA